GATGAAGAGGATGAAGAGGATGAAGAGGATGAAGAGGATGAAGAGGATGAAGAGGATGAAGAGGATGAAGAGGATGAAGAGGATGATGATGATGAAGAGGAAGATGGTTAAGATGATGAGGATGAAGAAGAAAGAGTTTTTATATGGAGCTGAAGCTCGAATAAATGTTAATTATGATGAGTCACAATGTTTTTGGGTTTCAAATTCTATGGTGTTTAGGGTTTGGAAAACACTACACATACGAAAATAAAAGTGGTGTGTACCAAAAGTGTTACGCGGTAGTTATAATAAATTGAAGCTTGAGTTACGGGTACAGAAAGAACACACAGAGAACACTTGTCACAGCTGATAAGAAAAGCTTGAGTCAATTCATTGATTTTATTTGATTAAACATTATTTCCATTTATAATTTTTACAAGAAAAGAGGTATTCAGGTTATCAATGAGAAAACAACGCTGAATAATTCTGAAGTCATTCTCTCTTCCATATCGAGTTAATCAGACATAGGATTGAACTGTGCAATCGAATTACTCTGGGGATTCTCGATCAGGGACGATACACAAAATCAGTAAATTAGTAACAATGGATGTCTGAGTGCATGAAAGGAATGTTCTAGAGCTAGCTCCACCGGTGCTTCACCTGAGGTGTACACTACGCGCATAAGGAAATCCACGAAAGGATTAATGTTACAGATGCTACCTGTAATGTCGTCGACAAACCTTTTCAATGTGCAGCACACACTAAAATTGATCAGGAACAAACATCTTTTCATGCTTCTTGATGTAGGATAAGAATTTATCTTTTAAGAAAGATATAAAATGTGATTATTGCTGTAATTTAATGTTTTTATGCTGTCAGTTGATCAACAAAGAACCAAGATCAATCACACGCAATTATGGTACATACGTATTTTATATCAAAGGATATCCCACAGGACAGTCTTAGGTTAGATGGACACTTTGGTCGTGTAAATTTGTACAGTGACGCCACATGTATAGGGGAATAAGCGCCCGTATCATTAGCCTTCTCATAGATTTCCTCGTGCGCGTAGTGTACACCTCACCTGGAGTTCCCCAAACTTCTCACTTGCACCGAGTTGCTACTGACACACTCAGTGTCAAACTCTAGAATCTCCCATTTCACCAATCGAAATCATCCGTGGCCCAGAGATCTACTCATTTCCGAAATAGGCAACTAAGAGCAAACAGCACCACACACACTCTAACCTTCACCCAAACCAAGGAGTCATCGAAACCAGTTAAAAAAGAAACCTCAGTTCAATTAGTTAAGCCAAAATGGAAAGAGAGTTCTTGTCACAAAAATCAAGTTTACTTCAAAAATCAATCTAGTACGATGCGCGGCTTTAAAAGATATAAAGGAAAAAGGGGTTTGAAAGCTTATTATTATATTTATATGAAAATAGAGCGCGGCTCTGAGAGCATTTACCACATTAGAAGCCGGAGCGGAAGCAACTGAGATTGCCCTAGGAACGAATAACAATCTAGATAATTGGAATAAATCATTAGATTGCCATCTAATGATTTCTAAATTCTTCTGCAGAACGAAGAAATGCGAAGAAAGTCTAACGATTTCTTTCGGCTATCTGAAGATTTCTATTCAATTTTTTATTAAAGCTCCCCGTCAAAATTTCCTACATGTTTGTGTATACTTTGAGACAGTAGGTAAATACGCTGTGCCTGCCATTTTGACCTGAGTCAACTGTGGTGTTTGGATCAATTGCGTTGTCACTTAGATAGATCGACATGCAACCTCGGTACCTGACAAATTGAAAAGAAATACAGAAAGTTAGCTTGGCGAAGATTGCCGCCATTATATGGGTTATAGAATGAGATCATAATTTCCATAATAGGTAAAGACAGAGTCGGTGCGTAGTCAATAAAAAATATAAGTGATTGGAAGCCATACTTATCCCAATCATTGTTGCCTCCGTTCCAGGTTCCGATGAGGTGGTGGTAAAGGCTCTCTCGTGCCACGTTTATTTTCAGATAATATATAATAAAAAAAATTTCTTCAAATCTTCTTTGCACCGCGCACCGTGTTGATAATATGTCCAATGATCAATCTGAACAATTGCGTACAAGAGAACAAGTCGAACACATCATTGAGGAAATGCCAAGAAAACTCAGTCTTGACAGATTAAGTGAAGGTCCCACAAACCTTCCAAACGAAATCTTGGAAGAACTGAAGAACAGCTCGTCCATCAATTTACAAAAGAACATCAAAGAATTTGTCAAGAACCTTCCAAAGTACGACGGCAGTGAATGGACCAACAGTGGAATTTTCAACAAAGAGTTCCACAGAGAGCTTAAAAGGAAAACTGTGGATGCCCTCCAAAGCACAAGCGCAGTATACAAAGGAGCTGATCGACCTATCATCGCGGGAAGAGCAGCAACAGGCCTTTACGAAGAATGCCAACATTTCCTGGAATCAGGAGGAAGTGAACAACGATTCTTTCACATCATGGAAGGCATCCGACAACTCGCAGGTTACTCATATGCCATGAGTAAGGCATCAAAAGTAAAGCTAGGATAATAGCGATCAAGGTGCTCAGGCTCCCCAACAGCGTCAAACACTTGGAAGAAGAACCTAGTGATAAGGCCTTGGCCATGAGCAGGGAAGAAGTTGGAAGAATCTTTCAAGCCAGATACGAGCAGTTGATTCTTATAAATGCAGTTAGACGACAACAGAGATACACCATTGAAAAATAGTCTTCCAGTCCGACGCAAACCACTAACACCAGATCTAACCATCTACGTTGACGCTTCCGATTCCGGTTGGGGAGTAAGTTCAGTTTCAGTCCAAACAGCAGGGTTTTGGTCCGTAGAAGAAAAAGAAGACAGCATAAATGTTCGCGAGTTAAAAACCATCCTGTTTGCACTACGGGTTCATCTTCCACAGTTCAAGGGATCGATCCTGCAGATATACTCGGACAATACGACAGCATTAAAGTATGTGAACAAAGCAGGGGGAACATTGTCAGAGACTCTTCAAGAACTAGTGGTTCAAATTCAAGCAATCTGCAACAACTACAAATACTATTATAAACCTTTCAGCAAATTTCAAGAAAGCCAAGCAATAAGCGACACCACTTTTTCTACTACGGAAAACGCTATCACCTCATCGGAACCTAGAACGGAAGCAACAATGATTGGAATAGGTATGACTTCCAATCAACCAGTTGCCGAAGTGGAAGAAGATGATGAGGTGATCACCCGCCTTTCAACTTTCAGCTGGATTTTTCGCTGTTATTTCCCTCTCATGATAAACAGAAAAAATGAGTTAGCAGCGCTCAAAGACCTAAAGAAATAGGGATCGAATTTTTTTATTATATTACCTGAAAATAAAGCGTGGCATGAAAGAATCTTTACCACCACCTCATCTCCTCCTTCCACTTCGGCAACTGTCTGATTTATAATCACTATCTCGGCGCGTAGTTTTTACAATAAGAATAACCAATTAGAGTAATTTAATAATCATCCAGGTCATTGTGTAAGCCAGGCACCGCAGCTTTAACCATTACCGTAGCAGAAAGAATCAAACCTTACCTTGATTTAATCCACATCTAAAAAGTATAAATAGAGCTCTCTCTCTCATTGCATTTTTTATTATCTCAATTCTCAGGAATAAACGAATTCTCACAAATACTTGCTTGTCCCTGTCTATTGTCTTTCTTACTAAATCAACTTCAAGTTATCCCAACATGAACCATTCTGTATAAAAAATGGCACAAAAGTCAATGGTATTTTATACAAAGAAATAAAGCCTTCTGTTCTGGCGTACTCATAACATTTTCGCGTGTATATAAGAAAAAGCAATCATGTAGAGGCCACATGATACTAGATTAAATTATGGGTTATATCAATAACAATGAACCAGAAAGATTCCTCGCTGCAACAGATGCACATTGCACTCTTCAAAAGACTGCAAATCAAAGAAAGAACCAGGAAAGATGAAGAAAGACATGGTTCCGAATTACCATTGAAAATATTAGAGTATTTGGATAGCACGCCAACATATGAACTCAAAGGGGAGTTTGCAAGATTTAAAAAACAGGTCACCAAGTACAGTGTCCTCGAAAAAGTGTGTCGTTTTTTAAGTCATTTTTTTTTTTTTTTGAAAGATTCTCGATTAAGAAGACAATACTTTTCTCTTTCTTTCATATATTTTTCTCTTATAAACATATAGAATGCTCGTTTAACTTTGTCTCAAAAAGAAAAAATTGCTACCAGACGCTGCGATGGCATCTTGATAGCACCGATTGCCATTGAGGAAAACATTTCAGAAAGAACCATACATCATGTGTTTGTCGTATCCAAAGATAATTCATGCTTATTGAAACTATGGAAGTTACCCTTACAATAACACTTACTAGTACATAACATCATTTCTTGATTCAGATGGCACAGTAGTAAAACTAGGAAATCCTTAATTAAGCTACTTTATCCCAGAACAACCATTAGACGCACGTCAACTATAAACCCACAGTAAGCTCGAATAGTACAAATAAGAATCACTCTTTATCAATAAAAGGATTAATTCAGTCTTACTGTATCTTATTGTCCCTTATTACTTTATTTTATCACAGTCAGCTAGCAAACTCTTATAAAACGGGATTTACCCATAGATGCTTCATTGCTGATGACAGCCTGCTTACGAATTTGGTGGAGGAACATGCTCGCATGCTTCAGCCGTAAGCTTTCAGCTTGCTTCTCAATAAAAAAAAGACTACAGCCAGGCATTCAGACTGTCTACTTCAAGTGGCTCTTCTGTTCAGTTTTCTACAAACATATTCCACAGTCTGCTGACTTTGTTATTCACAGCAAAGCTTCGTTTAAACATCAATAGCTTTCTCTCCTCAGGCAAGTCAGTTGCTAGGCCTACTTCAAGTTAATCTGATCTCGTCTAAGCCTTTTAGTTTGATTTTTCACTCTCTTCTGGGTAGAATGCTTGATAATCTTACGTTTCTCGGTTTTTCACTATATTTGACCTTGGTTCTCGCTGACAGTAAATCCTCGTCTATAACCAGTAAAGACCTTTTCTCATAATAATGATGTTCTGTGCATATTTGATTTCCTCGAGACCGTACAGGCTCACATCTCACGTTTACTTATTTAATTAAGAGTATCTAACACTCAGATGAACTATAAAAAACAGTTATTACATCTCTTTCTGGCACACGATTGTCAACCTCTCCATTCTGGTGTAATCCTCTGCTATTAAACCGTGTTAATCAATGGTATAGTCGCTCCTCAGTTGACCCTGCACTCTATCTTGCGTTTCCACTCTACTTAATCACTGCTCAACGTGACGCTTATCTAGATCGACCTAATGAAACATCCATGATGCTTTCGCTTTTCATGCTTGTCATTCCTTCTTACTTGTGGCGGGACTACTATTGTCACTGCGTTCATCCTCTTAAGTTTTTGATATGTTTTTCGCGTGGTCACAGTTCCAGCTCAGTTCTTTTTGCAATACAACCTGTCATGTCATCCTTACTATGTCACTGGATGTTTCCTAAATTCAACCTAGTGACTCTGCGCCTCTCTCGTACAAAGTGAGCTTGGAATTCTTGATACAAAAATATAACAAGGCTTGCTCCTACTGCGTTGACTGATACTACTCTTGAAACCTATTCCCATAGTTCTCATTGACAACCACATGAGAAGCATAGCCAAGTTTTATCAGTTCCCTGCGAATTGTCTTCTCAGAGGCTTTCGTGCTGATCAGTTGCCTAATTTCGTAAAGTGGAGCACGGTGATTGGCACGTACAGCCCTTCCTAGCTCTCTTCTTTTTCTATTGTTGAAGACAGGAGGTCCTCCAGACCTGGGCTTGGTCTCTACAGTTCCATTCTTTTTCCATTGCTGAAACACTGTAATAAAATAAAGTAATAAGGGACAATAAGATACAGTAAGACTGAATTAATCCTTTTATTGATAAAGAGTGATTCTTATTTGTACTATTCGAGCTTACTGTGGGTTTATAGTTGACGTGCGTCTAATGGTTGTTCTGGGATAAAGTAGCTTAATTAAGGATTTCCTAGTTTTACTACTGTGCCATCTGAATCAAGAAATGATGTTATGTACTAGTAAGTGTTATTGTAAGGGTAACTTCCATAGTTTCAATAAGCATGAATTATCTTTGGATACGGTACTGACGCTCACATTGAATAATGCGAGCGTACATTTTCCGCGTTAAAACTTTAGCACCCGTGATGATGAGGAGTATAGGAAGCCAGATGTTCATATTTGATGGGCTACCTTTTTTAGTAAAGAGAGAAATAGAGATCTTAGTCTAAGGCTAAGACAATTCACCTTTAATGAAGCCAATATTGTAAACACACAGAACTAATATCTGGGAAGTCGCACGTGTAACAACCAGACGTAAGACTTCATTCGGCAACCCATCAGTACCCGGATTACAAATTATATGACTATGAGTAACGTCTTCAAGGAAGTCATCAGATGTATTAGACAGGGTAATAAGGGATTGTGCCACTGGAAAGAGCCGTGTATAAGACAGATTAAAGGAGAAAATGGTATCAAAAGCAAACTGGCCTATGAACAGGGAATAATAGAAAGCAGAGTAAAATGTTATGTAATGGTTTAGAGACAAAATACAAAGACAAAAGAAATACTCTTTGAGGTTAATCTTTATTCTGAGGTAAAGACAGAAGGAACATACAAATAAATTAAGGATCTACTATTTATAGTTGATACCAAATGTTTGGTAAGCCACTATTCTAAGTGTGGATTATGGCTACTGAGGATTTGATCGAGCAACGATTCCTGAGTTCATAGAAAACTTTTCATTTCATGAACTAGGTTATGATACTGCTTTTACCATAAGAAGGATGGTATTTTAAAGAAGTATATTCTTTTATATAAAGAATTACTGACTTATATTCAAAGGAGAAACTCTATTTAATTTGAGTTATCATTGAAATTGTCTACATGTAATCTTATAATGTATGGATTCACTTTATTCATGCTAATTACAGTCATTTATGTCAATACCAATCATAAGCGGACATTGTTCTACGACACAAGCAATTTACCTTAAGACACGGTACACCTGAAGAGATATTATCGGATAATGGACCTTCTTTCAATTCTCTATTCAGCAAGCAACTAACAGAAATCTTTAGATCACAGCAGCTACTTACACCAGCATACCACCCAGCAAATAATGGAATAGTTGAACGCTCATGATAACCTTAGAAGGATGATACTTACATACACTTCATAAGACAAAATTAAGAATAAATGGGACGAACATTTTCGTCTCATCCAATTCATTTACAACAATACGATGTATGAAGCAGCACAACATACACTCTTTTGTTTAGTACACGGAAGACATCCTCGCGCACCATTGTACATGATAGAAGAAAACAAAATTTTTGATAATTACGTCACTTCCTCAAGAATTCGCGATTGAATTGCAATACAGTATTCAATATAGTTGACTCATTAAAGAAGACAAATAGTCAGCAAGAAACAGAAATTCCATATAAATTTGGAGATCAAGTTTTACTCTTTAATCAAGCTATTATAACAAAGAGTAAGTCAAGAAAACTTTTGTTTGATTGGTATGGACCCTTTACAGTAATACACGTTAATTCAAGAACAACTTGTAATATCAGACATCAAGATAAGAACTGGTTTGGAAATGCAAAAAATTAGAAAAACGTAGTACGAGTAAATTTTGGTGCTTCCAAATGACAGTAGCAAAAGACTACTTAATGAAAATATGAGCTTTTCTATCCCTTTTCTCTCCATCAGTTTTACTGCTGTTAACTGATAAAAAAAAATATTCATTAATTATCAAACTTTAAGTATGTATTATCCTATAATTATCAAAGACAATTTACTAATAGAAATAAAAAGCTGTCTATAAAAAAGCACAAAAGTCTCTGTTTCTAGTTGTATTAAAATTCAGAACAAATTGGTACTCAACGCACACATTTCAAGATTCAAGAAATTCAAGGCTATTAAAGAAAAAACTTCTAAATATTTTTATTTACTTATCATTTCGTTAGTATATTTGACAATCTCCATAAGGCGATGTTAATCTAAAAAATATCTGACATTAAAAGTATACTCTTTCCCCTATAAACAGTCGTTACATACTACCTTTAATTTTACAACGGCTCTTTGGGGACGAGCGAAACTAAGGTCACACAAGAAATACCTTTTTTTGCATTTGGTTTAGTAGCAACCATGCGTTATCATGAAGACATAATATGGAAATTATACTTATACATAAAAAAAGAAAAGCATAACTAATATAATTTTAAAACATAAAATGAAAAAAAGATTTAAGGTTATGAAGTAAGAAAAATTGGATTTATGGAAACAATGTGAGTCAGTTTTGATGAAGAAAGAACATGGCAAAGAGTCAATACTAGGATCAAAGCAGCGGCTGTGGCATTATTTGTAACAAAAGAGATATACAGGTACATAAAAGCAGATAATGGATCCAGACACTTTCGTTGATAGCATAAAACACCGTTGTGTAGCCAACGGCAAGATGGTAAATGGACATACGCATTGGAGACCATAGTCTTTCCCCTTGTTGGTTATAGTAATTCAGGCGGTGATGAGCATGGAATTACCAAAGAATGTCAACGTTCGTATGATGGTAAGCTATGGAGGAAGTATTTTATAATTGAACCAAATATTAAGAAAAAAGATGTCTGTCTCTTGGCATACTGTTATCTTAGGAGCCATTACTGTCTTCAAGAATTTGTCAGGGAGTTCTTCTTGAAAACCAGCCCATTGCCGACATCAATGGACACTATCTCTAGCAGTGTTTGCGTGCGACCACCGTTAGCTTTTACTCGCTACTGGCCA